GAACAGCATTCGTTAGTGACAATCATTAATTTGTCTTATTGCATATTTTTTATACTTCTTATACAGTTTTTTCAAAGAAAATACTTTCTTTAGATTTAATATTCGTACTTGTTTAATTTTGTGTTTTTTTTTTATTTCATTAAAATATTATATTCTTAAACGAAATATCATTTTTTAAAATGATGAAAATAAAACTTTTATTTCGTTCAAGGAAACCATGTCATTTGATGAAACAACACTATTGTTTTAAATAATATTTTTTAAAAGTTTCTCTCAAAATTTAGTAATTCGATTTGTTTAATTTGGGTTTTCTTGGGTTTTTTAATTTTTTTGTTGGATTAATCATTATAACATTTTGTTAAAAATGTAAATGTAATTATTACTGATTCACTACATTACAGCAATATTCATCGCAAATCGAATGTTGCATTATTTCAATATTTATCAGCAAATTATCCAATAAACAACAAGTAAAAATTGTGTAACTATTATTTAGTGTTTGCTAGGTATGTTATAATATACTGTGAACACTATAAGGATACATTATATATGCATTAATCGTAAGAATATCGTTGGAGTCATTGGGAATCGCCGCGTGCCGCTTGATCGTCAGGTTAAGCAACACTTTAACGGAGTCAGGACATGGATTTGGTGACCGGTGGTATACCGCTTGGGATCGAAATTATCGCAGGAGGATTCATGAAAATTTGTAATATGTTGACAAGCTTCGATATCTAATAGTTTATGAGACATGAGAAAATTAGGAATATAAGTATACTTTTGTAAACATTATGATTTTCTCATTTTTCACCTTTGCATAATAATTCTCAGTATTTGATTACTATCAATATTTAACAGTGATTTTATTATCAGTATTCACCAGAAATTAAATACTGACCAAAAAATTACTGAATTACTGATAATATTTAATCACTAATAATTTTTTAGTATTTTTTAGTATGATATTTCTGTAAACTGAATAGTTACTATTAAAAAAATATATATTTACCTTGTGACGTCTGTATATATTTTTTCGTTTCTTTTTATTTATAATAACCACACACTCTCTCTCTTTCTCTCTTTCAAAAGTGTCCTGGGTCTGTAAATCTGTTGTCCAGTCCAAATTATAACCACACTCTATTACGCAGTTGTTGAACTTATATTCAGTATATACATATTTAAGGGTGACTTTTACCAAAATTTATTTCACTTTGGACTTGTTTACACAAGGTGTTTCTGCCGCGCATTAATGTCACATAACATCCATAAGCGCATGCAAGTGCAAGCGGAATCACACGGCAACAAACGTTTACGCGTGCAGCACTCAGCACTAGAAGATATGCGCGTGTCGCAAACAATAAACTGCACGCATCGCACGCGTTTCCGCACATCGTCTCATAGCAGCGTGCGGCTATTGGCTCTCGCAAACCGGCACGACGAGCAACGCGATCTGCAACACGTGATATCCA